TAACTTCAATAATTTTTTCGGTCTAGTCCAAGTTGAACTCTAGGGTATGCAAGTTCTTGCATGAGGAATGAATCAAAAAAGTTTTCAAGTTTCTCCAATATAGGCAACCAGAAGTTTGCATCAAACCTAACTTTTTCATGAAATATGCAGCCATCACTTCCCTTAGCTATAAACAATCCCCAATGAAATTCTGTTACAAACATTTGCTGATATAGCTGATGGAAGTACTTATGATTCCTATTGAGTTTCAGAATAATAGAGTTGCCTTTTTGTGTTTTAATGCAGATGTGCTGTTTGAGAAGCACATCCAAAAGGCCCTCTTCATCTTTTACTTGGATGAATTTGAACTCTGCTACACCAGGGGTNCATTAACAATTCCTTGAGAGTCTTTGAAGGAGAAGTGGTTGGTTTGAGGGAAGCCACACGCTTGCATTTTGAAGCAGTTATTCTCCCTTTTCTATACAAATACCAATCAGAATCCCTACTTTGGAGCCTTGTTTTCTTTTCCACTTGTTGGATTTCTTCCTCAGTAAAATTTAGTTTCCTCTTTATTTTCCTGCCTTTTTCCTCTATGTTCTTAAGACTTGGGGGAAGGGCAGCAAATGGTGATATGCACCCCACATGAAAGAAATTATCCTGATCTGATTTTAAGGATTTTTCTAATTCAACGGTGTCCACCTGAGGTACTTCATGTATGGAAGCAGTAGATGGACTCTCAGTTAATAAACAACTTGATACTTCTTCATATGCTCTAACATTGTTGTCACTTGATATTTCATTCTCTGATAGACTAGTGTGCTGCTTTTCAATGGCAGTAAATATTGCACTTTGAGGACTAACTATCCTCAGACTATCTAAAAGGTTAGTGACAACAGAATTAGGTAATGCAGGACATGCTTTGTACGCTCCATCACTGGGCACAGCTGCTGATCTCGGTACTTTCCCATACTGGTGTTTTACTGGTCTGATCTCATCTATACGTTTGGGACTAAGTTTCCTTTTGCGTGGCTTGTTCCACTCACAAGGTTTGGATGTACAGGCAATGTTATCAGAAGTAATGTTGTTATGGCTCTTCACATAATCCTCCAGAGCAAACAGTAATGCTGCAATGTGATTGCAAGCCTCACCTAACCTGAAAACAAAGGAGGAGTAGGGGAGCATTGAGAAGAGGGGTTTTGAGTTTTAATGTAGCTGATATGTTCTCTGCTCACTTTCTCGCTGACATTTTTTATCAGTTGGAAGCAAATTAATTTCTTTCTGTAGAACTTGGAGTACTGATTTCATAATGTCAATTTCATTATTATAAAATCTCACTTACCCTGCTGTACAGTTACAGTCTGCTGAAAACACTTTAGCTGTTTCCTTCACAAGCGAAATCCAAGTGCTGTAAACGCGGTCTTGACGCATGGATGGTAATACTATCGCCTTCACAAAGCAGTAACTGCTCCTCTCACTGATAGCACTTAACTCAATCTTTTGCACGTGCCCATCCTTGAAAAATTTAAATGCTTTGAGTTGTTTGAAACACTTCATATCCTCCCTTTGGAAGAATTTGCAGCTTCCATAAACTAGATAGTCTATGATTTCTTTATAACCAATCGGCGGCAGCTTGGAGAGATCCCTTGTCCAGTTGTTCAAGGTTCTAGGATCTGGAAGATCTTCGGATGGACTCTGTAGTTTTTCAGCAGCTCTAGTTTCTCGCGCTTGCTTCTCTCTTGTTTCCCTTTCTTCGATCGTCTCAGTCCCATCGTTCCTCGCTTTAATTACACGCTCGATAAGTTCTTGTTTTCTGCCTGTTGTTTTCAAACCACGTGCTCTAAGCCATTTCTGCAGTTCGTTTTTGCGGGAACTTACTTGCAGCCATTTGTTTTCTGCCATATTGGAAATTGTACTTACCCTAGCCTCGCTTTCGA